AATAACCAGTTGCTTTTAGAGGTGTCACACTGATTCAAATTTAAAAAAAAAATTGCTGTAAAAACGGATATCCTGCTTCCAGAATATCAAGCAGGAATATCCTTCTAAACGTGGTTTTCCAGTACGAGACTTGGATGGGAACCTAAATAATTAACAACTAATTGTGACCTTTACAGGTTAACAAAAGAAAAGTTAGCACATGTCCTGTAGGCTTTATATTTCCAGGAACTGTAACTTTATCTCTGGGAGTAGGACATTTGTAACTTATATATGCAAAATGCAATCTGCCTTGTGGGATGGTATGGATATGTCTGAGAGTCTTTAAGAGAACCACTGCTTGTGATAAATACCTATACCCCAATAATCTCATTGACACCCATAGGGTTTATTACTTATTTATTTACTATTTTTTTAATGTGGCAGCCGGCTAGCGAGCACTCTGGATTTTTTAGAACCCATGGCCCCATATGTAGTCGGATCTTTTTGCTACATTTAACCCCAAACCGTTGTTTCATTTCTCCTCTTCTCTGTATGCTTTTTTTTTTTTATATGATGACAGTGAGGTGCAAAGAATGTAGCTTATAACAATGATTGACATGGAGTTAAAATGGAGGCACCCATTTGAAGGACAAAAATGTATGGCTATGTAGATCTAGTTTTATTTGTTACACATCAGATTTGATAAGAGAGATAAGTAAACATAATACTGTAATTCCTGGGAAGTGAAAGTTCCCCTTTAATGTAGTGGTTTTAGTGCAGATCTACTGATACTGTTCTGGAAACCGTCAATGTTTATCATGACCAAAATGATGTAACTGTTATACAGAGAGTTCTTAAAACCACATCATTCCTTGAAACCTCAGATGCCTAGGCCGAATGGATAGACAGGAGTACCAGAACCATGAATGTGCATGGCCCCAATTCATCATCCCTATTTGAAGACTGAAGGGGAAGAGAGAGCACAAACAGGCCAAAACCCGGACATGCTACTGCCCTGTGAGATTTTAATCCTTAGTGATGCCGGAGGACTGGTTAACTCCTGGAAAACTTAATGATTAACTCCTGGAAAATTACCGCTGCATATTCTAAACTTTCTAATTTGACAAGTCAGCATAATACTCTTTTGAGCGAATGATGCCTTTTTTACAAGCATTATACAAAATTATTTGTTTTTAGTAATTCTGCTTATGTTATGGTGAATTTAACATGTGCTATTTTAAATTCACTATAACACTATAAATTTGAATTCACTTTAAAAATAGCATAAACTTTCAAAGTAAGTGGAATTGGAGACTTACTAAAATTTGTCTTATTTGTGTCTTATTTTATGCCTTGGGAACCATTTCCTAAATGACCAGAACTACAGTTTAGTGCAAGCATGTCAAACTCAAAGGCTAGCAGGGGCCAAAGAAACAAAAACTTACATTTTCAAGGTGTGTTTTGAAAAGTACAGTATAAAAAAACAGCATCCCCCTCTACTAAATTCCAGTCCCCCCTCTGTACTCAATCCCAGTCCCCCCTCTGTACTAAATATCAGTCTCACCCTCTATACTAAATCCCAGACATCCCCCCACCCCTCTACTAAATCCCAGCACCCCCCCTCTACTGAACCCCGGACATTTTTACAAAAACAAAACAAAAAAAAACAATATCAGCTAACAAGCAGACTCCACTTACATTGCTGCTGCCAGTATGTCCAGCCTCTGGTAAACCCCCAATGGTGCCATCCGCACCCTGTGCAAAAGCGGATCCTCCCGCTACTACTTGACATCTTGTGCAGGTGGAGCACATTGATGTCATGTCGGAATGTGACACACACTCACTGACAGACACACACACACACATTTACACATTCTTGCACACACTCATATCATTCTATTTATTGTTCCCTACCTTTCTTTGGATGTTGGTGTGGGGCCTCTCCCTGGGGTCCAGTGGGGATCTTCTCTCGAGAGGTCTCCTGCCTGCTCCTCACTGCTCCCTCACTGCTCCCTCACGCGTGCTGTTTAGTGATGCTGGGTGCCAGAAAGACGGCATATTCCGGCATCACTAAACAGCGCGCGTGAGGGAGCAGTGAGGAGCAGGAAGACTGAGCTCCCTCGCTGCCGCCAGCGACATCTCCTTCCTGGACGGGTAAATTTTTGCAGAGTAGGCACCAGCAATGTGGGGAGAGCAGGTGCCTACTCTGCCTTAGTAAACATATTAAACTCGCGGCTCGCCGGGCCGCAAAGATATTCATTGAGGCCCGCACGCGGCCCGTGAGTTTGACATGCCTGCTTTAGTGCAGGCTTCCCCAAACTCCGGCCCTCCAGATTTTGCTGAACTACAGCTCCCATGATTCTATGAATGAAGAATGAGAATCATGGGAGTTGTAGTTCAGCAACATCTGGAGGGCCGGAGTTTGGGGAAGCCTGGTTTAGTGTACAGGCACATTTAAACCCACATCATCATACCATATCAACACACTCCTAGGAAATGTTACAACAGGAAAGACCTTTAAAGCAGCTCTGCTACTTCTAAAGAAGAATAAAACTCACATGACAACTTTTCTTTCATACACAACATGACTGGCACACACAGCATATATAGTTGTAATCAAAATTATTAAATCCCCATTGAAAATCAGGTTTGTTGTCCAAATGTACAGACGTTCAGCTATTTGCAACAAATCAAACAAAAGCAATTGAAATAGCCCAACACAATGAATACAGACTTTTCCCGGTTTACGAACTCCCGCTTTACATTTTCCCGCCTTTACGAAAGTTTTTCTTATGCGCGCACTATTTTATTTCCTCCGCCATTTTGTTTCCGCGATCCGTGGATGCGGACCGCGGAGCGTGTTTGGAGGCACTGGAAAAGGAATTTGAGGCCAACAGAGTGAACAGGAGTGAAAGGTAAGTTTAAAATCTGTTTAATTAGCGTTGTCTTTATTTTCAATTTGAGTATTTTTCTGTTTAGAGCAGTATGTAACATAAACTGAATGGATGGCACAGTGTACAGTACATGAGTGATAGTATGTGATGTACTGTACTATAATTTTATGGCAAGACAGGAGGCTTCATATTTGCTTTACCTTCTTTACTGTATTAACACCTGCATAGAATTTTGATAGAGAGTTTATGAAACACTATGTAAAGGTACAGATCTGGAGTTCCATTTCTAATTTATGTATGTCTATGTATGTAATTTGTCTTAGATATTAATATGAAGTTTCTTGTATATTCCCTATTTTTTAATAAATAAAACAACTTTTTCAAGATAAAAATAAAATATGATTAGAGTTTCCATATTTGATGTGTGAAGATATAACAGTGCATCTAATTGTTCGTCCAAATAACTTTTCTTCTTTATTTTAATGTACCTGTATGCTTTTTCTAATTTTATGGTTTTTGTGTGTGTGCCTGAGATTGATGTGAGTGTGTTTAGGAGAGTGAACAGAAGTGAAAGGTAAGGTAAAAAACGTGTTTATGTGTGTGTGTGCCTGAGATTTATGTGAGTGTGCTTAGCAGAGTGAAAGGTAAGGTAAAAACATGTTTGTTTGTGTGTGTGTGTGCCTGAGATTGATGTGAGTGTACTTGGTGCTTCTTGCATTTTCCCTAATTCCCCCCCCCCCTTCCTGTAGACAGACAAATAAAAGTTGTGTAATGTAAGTCGGGTGTCTGTAATTTTAGCTGTTTATCCATATAAAGTGTGTGTGTGTGTGACATTGTGCCATATTTTGGCAGGTAGCATAGCAAGGAGCAGGAGGATCCTAAAATGAATAAAGTAAAAGAAGTGTTACTTTTTCATATATGAACTACTGTAACCCTAAAATGGAGACACCTAAGGTATAAATAGGTGTACTTTTAAATGTTAAGACACAGAGGAGAGACTTGGAGACAGACGCTGCTCCATCTTAAAATGTCAGAGAGGCTGACATGATGACATGTTCAGAAGGGTATGTTAACCTATTAATGATATTTGCAAGCATGTAATTTAAATCTTATAAACTCTGCTATAATGGATTTTATACGTCTATATTTATATTTTTATATAATAAATATCTAAAAGACAAAACTATTGCTTCCAAGACAATCCTTATTTTATATTGTATTCTCAATTATTTATATATGTTAAATAGAGGATCTCTTACACTATATAAAATTATGGCTAAGATATCTGTATGGTTAACCCTACTAAGTTCTATGCTTTAAGACATTATAGTGGTAAATAAGGGAACCACCTGCGGTTACAATACAACTTCCATTTTGCAACCAATGGACCAAGGAGTTATCGCCACATTTAAAGCACTGTACCTTCGGCAGACATTTGAAATGTTGATTAAAGCAACAGATAACGAGACAGGTCCAAGTCTTATAGAATTTTAGAGAAAATCATTTAATATTTTAGATGCAAAAAAAATTACAGCATATGCCTGGAACAAAATTTCAGAGACAATCATGAAAGGTGTTTGGAAAAAGCTCTGCCCTCAGTTGTTTGGTGCTAATGTTGAACGGTTTGAAGAACCAGCAGAAATTGTACAGCAGAACACAGAAGCAATAGTTACTCTTGCCAACAGATTGGACCTGGACGCAGTGGTGTATCCTGGTTTTGTGCTGCTCTAGGCAGGACAAAACTCAGGAGCCCCCCCTCCCCCACCCCACCTTCTAAATACACATACACACACACAGTCAGACACACACACAGTCAGACACACACAGTCAGACACACACAAACAAACACACACACACAGTCAGACAAACACACACAGTCAGACAAACACACACAGTCAGACACACACACACAGTCAGACACACACACACACACACAGTCAGACACAAACACACACACACAGTCAGACATAAACACACACACAGTCAGACACACACACAGAGTCAGACACAAACACACACACAGACACAAACACACACACACACAGTCTGTGTGTGTCTGTGTGTGTTTGTCTGACTGTGTGTGTGTCTACACACAGTCAGACAAACACACACACACAGACACACACAGTCAGATACACACACACACAGTCAGACACAAACACACACACACAGTTGTGACACAACACAGACTTCACACATTACAGTCAGACACAAAAATAGTCAGACATTAATAGGGAATAGTCAGATACAAATACATTACACAGTTAGATACAAATACACACATAGCCAGACACAACACACACACATGGCGAATACATACACATAGACACATTATTAATATTAGACACATATTATTATATATGCTTATGTCAGGGACACAAATATACACAGACATAAATATTATTATGAAGTCAGGATACACACACAGCTAAAATGTACACATTACAGTCAGATTATATCATTACGGCGCCGATAGCCGCTGAAGACACACACACAGTCAGACACAAACACACACACAGACACAAACACACAGTCAGACACAAACAAACACAAAGAAAAACAAACATGCACACACACAGTCAGACACAATCACACACACACAGTCAGACACACACACACACAGTCAGACACACAGTCAGACACACACACATACTCACATTAACACTTTTTTTTAATCTCCCCCCCCAGCCTCCTTACCTTTGGGAATGCTGGGGGGCGGGGGGTTCTCTTTATCCCTGGGGTCCAGTGGCTGCCGGTCGGGCTGATGGGTTGGCTGCTGGGCGGGCAGCACTGGCGAGGGAGCACGTCCTCTGAGCGGTCTGCTCAGCTCCCTCGCGCGCCACAGAGTGAGGCTGGGAGCTGGAATATGACGTCATCTTCCGGCTCCCAGCCTCACTCTGAGGCGCGCGAGGGAGGTGAGCAGAGTGCTCAGAGGAAGAGCTCCCTCGCCAGCCGCCTGCCAGCGCCGCCCGCCCGCCCAGCATGTCAGTTAGCCGCGAGGCTAACTAGGCATTTGCCTTGGGCATTTGGGGGCGGCTTTTTTTGTTTGCCTTGTTTGCCTCGTGGCTAATACGTCCCTGCCTGGACGTCTCTGCAACTGACATAAATTACCTTCTTGAAGCGCACAAGGAAGAACTTACAAATGAAGACCTCTTAGATATGGAAGAACAAGAGGAAGTTGAAGAGGTAGAAGATGTTACAGCACCTGAAACCAGGGCCGGACTGGCCCACCGGGATACCGGGAAATTTCCCGGTGGGCCACGGCACCAGGGGCCGGTCTGACAGCCCTGATCATTGGGCTGACAGCTCCTGTGATCCCGGCCGGCTATGTGTGAGCTGTGCAGCCGCACAGAACCCCATGGGAGCAGGGGGAGCCAGGCGGCCGGCACAGCTCACACATGGCCGCCCGAGATCATGTAAAAAAATAAAAATAATAATTTGCGGCGGGGCGGAGCTTATGTGCGGCGGGGCGGGGCTAGCGGGGCGGGGCTTGGCGGGGCTAGCGGGGCGGGGCGTACTGTGCGGCGGGGGCCTGGCTGACTGCAGCATGGGAAGCAGGAAGTAGTCCCTGCTTCCCCAACAACCAGCCTCCAGGAGCTCCAAGCAGGAGGTAAGAAGAAGGTCAGTGTGTCTGTGTGAGTGTGTGACTGTCTGTGTGAGTGTGTGACTGTCTGTGTGTGACTGCTTGTGAGTGTGTGACTGTTTGTGTGTGACTGTCTGTGAGTGTGTGACTGTCTGTGTGAGTGTGTGACTGTCTGTGTGTGACTGCCTGTGAGTGTGTGACTGTGTCTGTGTGAGTGTGTGACTGTCTCTGTGTGAGTGTGTGACTGCCTGTGAGTGTGTGACTGTCTGTGTGAGTGTGTGACTGTCTGTGTGTGACTGCCTGTGAGTGTGTGACTGTCTCTGTGTGACTGCCTGTGAGCGTGTGACTGTCTGTGTGAGTGTGTGACTGTCTCTGTGTGACTGCCTGTGAGTGTGTGACTGTCTATGTGTGACTGTCTACCCTAACAGTGTAAACTATCTAATGTGTGACTGTGTGTGAAGTGTGTGACTGGCTCCTTGAGTGCCTGTGGCCAGTGTCTTGACAGTCTGTGTAGTACTGTGACTGTCTGTGTGTGACTTCTGCCTGTAGGTGTGTGACTGTCTGTGTGAGTGTGTGACTGTCTGTGTGTGACTGCCTGTGTGAGTGTGTGACTGTCTGTGTGAGTGTGGGCATCTGTGTGTGACTGCCTGGTGTCTGACTGTCTGACTGAGTGTGTGACTGTCTGACTGAGTGGTGTGTAACTGTCTGACTAGTGTGTGACTGTGAGTGTGTGACTGTCTGTGAGTGTGTGACTGTCTGCCTGTGTGTGTGCATGACTGTCTACCTGTGTGTGACGCTGTCTGCCTGTGTGTGTGAGTGTGTGTGGCTGTCTGCTGTGTATGTGTGTGGCTGTCTGCCTGTCTTTGTATGTGTGGGTGTTTGCCTCGGTGTCAGTGACTGTCTGCCTGTGTGTGTCTGTGTGGCTGTCTGCCTGGGTGTCAGTGACTGTCTGCCTCTGTGTGTGTGTGTGTGTGCGCGCATCTGCTAGTGAGGGAGCCTCTGTGTGTGTGTGTGTGTGCCTGCTAGTGACTTTGTGTGTGTGGGTGTGTGCCTGCTAGTGAGTGAGCTTGTATGTGTGTCAGTGAGCTTGTCTGTAGGGATCATATGTGTGTGTGTGTTAGTGAGCTTGTCTGTAAGGAGCATGGGTGTGTCGGAGCCTGTCTGTGGTGAGCATGTGTGTACAGTGTGCTTGTCTGTAGTAAGCATGAGTGTGATCGTGAGCTTGCCTGTAGTGACCATATGTGTGTCAGTGAGCTTGTCTGTAGTGAGCATGTGTGTGTCAGTGAGCTTGTCTGTAGTGAATCTGTGTGTTAGTGAGCTCTTCTGTAGGGAGCGTGTGTGTCAATGGGCTTGTCTGTAGGGAGAGTGTGTGCGCATCAGTGAGCTTGTCTGTAGTGAGCGTGTGTGTGTGACAGTGAGCTTGTCTATAGTAAGCTTGTGTGTGTGTATCAGAGTTTGTCTGTACTAAATTTGTGTGTGTGACAGTAACCTTGTCTGTGTGTGTCATTGTCTGTCAATGAGCCTATTTGTGTGCATCAGTAAGATTGTCTGTGTGTGAGTATGCTTTACTGTATAATTTAATTACCCTAAAAGAACTAATATTTTGAATTAGAAGAAGAAATGTATCAATAAAAAAAATAAAAAATAAAAATATATATGTATATATATATATATATATATATATATATATATTGTTGCATCACCAGGGCTCCAGTATCCAGTATATATATATAGGCAATTGAAATAGTTGGCTGCACTCTCGGATTTCCTTAAAATTTTACTTTTATTGAAATATTTAAGAGAAGATCAGCGTTTCAGTCCCTCTTGTGGACTTGCATCAGGATCATGACGAAAGTCCACAAGAGGGACTGAAACATTGATCTTCTCTTAAATATTTCAATAAAAGTTACATTTTCAGGAAATCCGAGAGTGCAGCCAACTATTTCAATTGCCTATATATATTTATATATATAAAACATAATAATGGCACTCACCCTTGCTTCAAAGAAGTAATAGTCACTGTGCCCCGGTGCAGACCTATGCTGATAAATAGTATAGTTGAAAAAGGATGCACTCAGAGGTCTTTTTAGAAGAAATATAGTGTATTTTAATCCATATAAGGTTTACAAATGACTTGATCGACGTTTCGACCCAATAGAGTCTTCCTCAGGATCAATATGTAAACATAAAACCTACAAATATATAGGAAAACATAAAATGTACTCACCAATTGTGTTACAGTTCCCTCATCCCTCCCGTCCGAACCCGGAAGTGAAAACCGGAAGTGACGTAACGTGAACGAAATTACGTGTTCAACTGTTAGCTGTGAACGTGGTTACTAGGAAACCAATACACATATCAAGAATTGGTTTCAAAAACCGAGTAGGTGCTGAAATATAAGTGGCTATTTAACCATTATATATATATATATATAGCCAGTATCTGCAGTGTATGTAGAATCATTCAGTAAAAGTGCCAGTGCAAAGATAAAAAATATAAGTGCCTGTTCAAAATACATCAAAGACAGCTGTGATAAAGTGACTAGTGCCCAAAGTGAAAAGAGCTATATATACTGAGACAAAAAAATTGCATCTTAAAAACATAAATATTAGCCATGGAGAAAATAGCAGTATAGCATAATTATTATCAATATAATATCAATTAGTATTAATCTATAAGTTCTAAAGGCTTTAGAGGCATAAATATATTATAGAATCTGATTATCAAAGCAAAAGATTTTTGTATGAAAAGTGCTGCACGGTCAAAGAGTAAATTCATAAAGTATGAGATACTATCTCTAATAAATCCAAAGTTGTTTAGGGAATTTAAATATTATATCTTGTCTTAAAGGGTCCACAAGCAACGGAGTGTATATTCTCCAAAAATTATATAGGGCAGAGTATATATATGAATGAAAATGGATTAAAGGAACATAGAGTATACAATGTTTTCATTGAGCCCCTTAGGTGCTACTGTGTCCAAACGATGTATCCATCGTGCCTCCTTCTGTAGAAGTATCTTGGATCTATCTCCCCCTCTAGGTAAGGGGGGAATGTGATCAATGGCTGTAAAACGGAGAGTTGGTAGTCGATGTCCTAGAGCAAGAAAATGTTTCGCCACCGGCTTATCGCTATAATTGTCCCGAAATGCGGTTGTAATTGTAGATCGATGACCCCGTATCCGATCCCTGAGGGTACGGTCCGTCTTACCCACATAGGATAGTCCACACGGGCACGTAATTAAGTAGATCACATGGTCAGTGGTACAAGTGATATATTGAGAAATACTGATTCTTTGACCACTATGAGGGTGGGCAAAAGTAGCCCCACTGACCATGTGACTACAGGTAACGCATCCTCCACATTTGAAACATCCTTTTTTGACAATTTTGGGAGTTTTAATATAGCAGTGTCTGGGATCATTTTTTACAAGGATATCTTTGAGGTTTCTATTCCTCTTGTAACTTAGCATCGGTCGATTTTGAAAAGATTTGGGTAGTTGTTTGTCTGTTTGTAACATATCCCAGTGTTTGTAGATGGAGTCTCTAATTCTT